CGTATGAAAAGTTAAACAGAGAGAGACACACAAACCCAAATGATTTCATGGTAGCAACCAGTGGTGGACCTCTTATTTCTTCTATGATTCTTTGGTACTTCTTTTGTTTCTTGCTCACAGGTTTAATTGCTCATTTATGTTGCTTTTATCTTTCAGAATTTTTGCTCCAACACTGACAACATCATACAAAATTCCAACAACTGAAGCTAAGAAATCAAAACAGCAATGATGACATGAGGTTAGATCAGATTATATCAAGTGTATAATGCACATAAGTAACAGAAGGAAGGAGGAGACCTTTCCTGAGGCCTCAGACTTCACAGTTAGATATTAAGTGATTTTGCACTTGCAAAAAAAAGGCTTATGAATTTGGTCAGTGCAGTCACAAAGGGAAATAAAATGGAACTAGTTTGCTCAATAAATACTTAAATGTTCTGTGTGTGTTCCTGTTGGCATCCACCATGCCATTGATCTGTTTTAGCTCAAACAGGGTAGTGTTTAAATGTGAACCATCATTAATCCACAGAACGTTGTCTCATCCTGATGTTGGAGACGCCTGGTGGAGATGTCATAAAGATGATTTTTTTTGGTAGCCTCTCCTCTTCTAGAAGTTTCCCCTCTGGTTTTGCATATTCAGTTGAAACCAAGAAGCCAAGGATGTTCTCAACCATAAGTGCACTTCTCTCTTCATTCAACTTCAAGCCAAGTTTTGAACAGCAGCTAGCTGAAGTAATGACATGGAAGGGCACCTAAAATAGCCCACTCAGCACACCACAGTTGGACACGGTTTTTCTCTGCCTGCCTTGAAAAGCACTGAGATAGTGAGAAATCAGTCATCAGACACCCACAGCATGTTATGCACAACCAGACGTCACACCATCAGCTTTGTTTAGAAACGCTCGCTTTACCAACACACACACACACACACACACACAGTGGTTTGACACTGACCACATACATTTCCTATTCTTTCATGCCAACAGCAAATTTTGACCCAAAACTAGCCCCTTGAAGAAGTAAAGAAAGCCTAAAGTGACCTCAGACTGAAAAAATGCACTAAATGGCTATAACACACAAGCGTGTCAGTACCAGAGCTGCAATGTTATACACGGAAATTGCATAAAGCATTGCGAGAAATCTGACGACATAAAGAATACTAGGCATCCAGCACCATAAGACTCTCCGGCTGAGATAAACTGTGGTTGACCACGGAAGACCGCACCCAGCACCCAACCACAAGGAATGTCTCTTTCACTGGCAACGCAAAACACTGGCATCAGCACAGCACCAACTCATTAAGCCTGAGAGAACACAGTGTGAATAGGTCCATCACCTGCTCAGACTGGCAGCTGCATCAAAAGGCATTGTAGAAATTAACACTAATGGAACGGAGGAACTTTATAAAAATTTAATTTAAGTTAAAAAAGAGAAATACACATGCATACACACACAGTACCCTTTAGAGGTCACGTTGTTAGAAATGGGAAGACAAAGTGAACAAAAGCCATTAACGCATTAAAAACAAGCATGTGTGTGATAAAAGACGCAACCACTGAGATGTAAAGTAAAGAGGAAGTGTGGCACGGAGTCAGGCACATCTCACTGACATGCTCCTTTATATTGCCACATGCTGGTGTTTCAGCATACTGTTCTGTAGGTTCAGAATGTTACACATATTAATTTGAGATGTATGAGTTTAAATAATGACAGCTGAGCATGTGGTTACTGCTACATGCAGAATGAAGATGGGTAAAAAAAAGTCATGGACAAGACAGTCAGTGTATTGTCTATAAAAAATTAAATGGCACTACAGATACAGACAGTAAACCTTCTTAATATAGACCTTTTAGATTTCTAAGAAGCTGCTTCCAGATGATACACAGTTTTATTTTGGTTAAGTACTATGCAGTTCTCTGGAGCTTTACCTTTTTTATTATGCTGCCATCTAGTGTTCACACTCAGTGGCCAAGACAGAAAGTTGCAACTTTTTTTTAACAACATACAAACAATATTGAGTGCGGGTCATGGAAATGGCACAGTGCTCAAACACACAGGCCATCAAACAAATATGCACCCTCTCATTAATTTCCTTTGGCTAAATTTGCTTTCAGCTTTTCTGGGATTCTATTTTAAAAATGCTGAAATTATAGAATGAATGAAAGAAAGAAAGACATGTATTTCAGTCTATACAACTATACAAACATGACAAGAAGCACGATTTCCAACAAGAACTTCATAAGACATAATAAAAAGAAGACAAATAAACAAAGACAACAAGGAAGCAAAGAAACTAAACAAATTATAGGGAGATGGGGCGAAGTATTTTGCTGCATTTGCTAGTTTTCATCTTCTCTTCTCTCAGCTTTCCATTCATTTCCTCTGAAAAAACTTAAACAAAAATCAACTGGACTAGATTTCTAGGTCAAAGACGTCGACAGGGGAGGATTCAAAGACAGGTAACGACTCTCACCGATACTGGTCTATAACGGCTCAGTCATTAGGGGACATTGTTGGCCTTCAAAGGACGGAAACACAACGGAGGAGGATAAATATCTCCGGCTCAACACCAGTCAGTCAGAACTGATGAAGCCTCTTGGATGTTTTTTCAGCTTACTATGACCTGGATGACTGAGAATCTGCACAGACATTCATTTCCTCTGTTTTATAACTCCAGTATTGCCACAGTGTCTGGCCTCGACTGTTTGCCTGTGGTTAGATGTGTAGCACACTTCATGTTCCCCAAGAAGGTGTGGGGTGATGTAGACCCTGGGGACTGAAAACGCCTTGTCATTGCATTGCTTTCATTCCTGTGCCTGGCTCCTGTTAGCCCGAAGACTATTTATACAGCCGCAGAAGAGGCGCCTCACAGCCTACTGGGTAGTTACACGTCCTGGGCCACCAACTTTATGTCCTCTGATTACACAGACACCTCAGAACATATCACCTCCTCAAAAATCCCTGAAACTGAAACTCTGACTCCATTGGAGCTTTTGGAGGGTCAATCTTTAGAACTCTAACAGAAAAAGACTGGTTAAACCCACCACAACACATCCAGACTACGTGTTAATGGTATATTTTGTCTATATTTGGTCTAATCATCTAATAATGAGTCAAGGAAGTGCGAGCTGGCACAACATACTATATATACTGCATGTGGTGGAAAAACAGTTTTAGCTTGCTTATATTAAAGTTAAGCTTAAATTTGAAAGAGCTACTTTGGATATGAAGGTTTAATATTTTAAAAGTGACCAATCTGAGATCACTGAAATCATTAAAAGCTAAACTATCAGAAGGAACACACACTGCAGACAGACCATCATCAAATCATCACATTCAAATAGACTGAAACAGGTATGTCTGTAGTAAACAGCAAGCATGTTGACTGACCTGGGAGGCTGACATATCTAGAAACAAGAGAGGAGTGTATTTTTAGGTTGATGGTGAACTGGTGCAAGTAACCAGGGACAAGGGACAGGGGGTGCTGTCCTCAGGCACAAATTAGACCACTGGCACAGGTACCAATGCAGAAAGGAAGTCCCAGACCCCAACCTGACCAGGTGCACTGCTTGTCAACACATGGTTAATTCTCTCTCAGCTCCTGGCTGCCGCCCACCTCTCTCACCTTATCTCTGACTGACCAGGCCAGCGAGGCTGGATCCTGACGCCTGGTCTGCTCAGCATCACTGACGCTGTGATACAAAGGTCTGCTCATACTATACTCTAGCTCATGTTCATTCATCACCATGAAATCATCTGGAAAATAACTTTTCTCAAAGGGGTCATTTCACCCAAAATATAAAAACATGGCTTTTTTTTTTTACTAACACTTACAGTGACACCTGGTTATGCAGACAGTTGACATATTATTTGCAGAGGTCTCGTGATTTCACTGTTAAAAATTCAACAGTGGTGTGTCATTCCAAAAGTTACTCGATAATCCATCAATAATTTTAACAATAATTTTAAATGAACTACTTTCATCCAAAGATAAAGCCTACTGTAGGTCCACTAAAGCTGTTAATAGCCTGATCTGTGATTTATCCACAGTAACAGGAGCACTGCTCCTGGCAAGAAGACAAAGGGTTTTTTTTTCCAATAACATGAGCTCAACAATAGAACCACAGACCTCTATGGTGTTGGTGTCCCACCAAGCAGGATCAGAATTAGGAACATGTTGTTAAATGGTAGGATCAAATGTCAGAACAACCTTCTTCATAACAGTCAAGTTAAATAATTTCTGTGGTAAGAAGGGCAGATGCCAGGACTCACACACAGACATTGAAAATACACATTGAAAAACTACAGGGAAATCAGAAACATTCGTGATATCTAGCTAAATCACTATCTGTGAGAAATGCTGGGGATAAAAATCATTAGTGGAGATTTTCCTGATTCGCTGTAGCTAATTCTGATATGATCATTCATCACCACATGGGGAATAAATGAGAGTTGATTTGTGCCATTCCAAAATGTAATCACTTAATCAATCAAAATAAGTTTGCAAACCGATGGATAAAAAAGTAGAAAACATAATCAAAAGTAATCAATATACTGTAAAGAGCAAAGTAAATCATATTATAAAAAAGTAAATTAAACAGATGATGGTTTAAAAATTACAAAATAGATCATTTGTGACTGAATATTACATTTTTGGTTATTAATCTTTTCCTATTTCACTGTGTAGTCTCCATATTTTCATTGTCAGTCACTTCACCGACTCAACATGGAAACTCTGGGTAAATGTTTGAATCGGCTGAGGAACCATTTCTCATAGTGATGGAGACAAGCAGGGCACCCGAATGTATTTTGATTTACATTTTGCTGAATTTCTTTCCCAACTGATTATAGATAAGAAGGAATAAAATAAGAAGATCAAAGTATAATATTCACAGTGTTGTGATATTTCAAAATCTTTCTGCAGTACAACATTTGAAATGCCCTACATGAACTACTGTAAATCTCCACCAAATAATGCTATAATAATATCAAACAGCAGATACCTGACGAGCGGCAGGGGGTTTCCTCTGACTCGACATTCCAGCCGGATGGGGCTCCCTTCTGCCACCTCCTGACTCTTCAGCTTCTGGAGGAACTGAGGAGGAGACAGGGGTCCCGATGTAGTCAGGGCTTGAGACTGCTTGTGCCTTGTAGAAGCTGCCTCTCCAACCAGGCCTCCGTTCTGAGGGCCTGTGTCTGGCTGGCTGGGAGGCACAGAGGTAGCAGAGCCTGGGACCTGAGGGACTGGCCGCCGGCTCCTGGGAGACAGATAGCCACTATCAGGTGAGGAGGAGAAGCCACTCTGTCGTTCAGCTCCAGGCTTTCATGAACCAGCCTGGGTTTATCCTGCTTATAAACTGGCTGGATGGGTTTGTGACGGACAGCCTTCTCAGCAGAGGACGGAGGCTCACTGGATGCCTGTGCAGGTTTGCTAGGGGGTGCATTCTGGCTGGAGGACACTTTAACTACTGCACTCTCATCTGGGCAGGGGGCTTTGGTCTGGTGGTGCAGGTTTGGGTTTGTGGTGGGGTTTTCAGTAGTCTGGGTGTTCACAGCGAGGGCGGTGTTAGGTTGGAGAGCCTGCTCCTGGAGTGTAGGAGTAGAAGGATCTGGATCTTCAGACTCACATATGTCACTGATGGCCTCCCAGGCCAGGTCCAAGCTACGATTAATCTCTTCTGCATTCAAGAAGGCAGTAAGATCTGCAAAGACCCCATCTCCAGAATCCAGCACTGTTGCAGAGTCCAGGTAGAGCTCCCCATCAGAGGAAGCCTCAGAAAATACCCCCCCATCTCCCTCCAAAGTCCCGCCTGCTGCTGAGTCCTTCAGCAGCAGAGAGACGGGGAGTGGCTGATTCCAACTCCCGTCTTGCATCCTGAAATACAGATCAGCTCTCATTACCTAAATCTCATAGGTTTGCACACAGAGTATTTTACATGTATAAGACAAATCTTTCAGTAAAAGAAGGGAATCGACTGTTACAAGAGAAGTCAGGCTTAAAATACTAGATAATTTGTGATGGCAGCCATAGCGGGCAGAATGACTCAGGCCAGTGCTATCTGTACACAGCTGGTGGGTATTAGTAAAGGCCTCTACTGAAGTCACAGTGAACATGATCAGCATTTCTTACTTGCACTGTTTCTGTCAGGACATTTTACCCCATCACTCTGTTCTTTGTATTGCCTCAGGTTTTACCCGGTTGTATGACATTTTGGACAGAAAATAACAATTCTATTCATTTCTGATTCATCTAGTGGTTGAGTGACTCAGTAATAAACTAAAAAAAAAGATAACATGAATACCCATGTTATCCGTGTCCAAGATTCTTTTGTTCTTTCAGACAAAAAAAATCTCATATTTATTTCATTTGAATGATAGAGATAGAAGTAGAGGAATGCTGAAACCAGAAAATGTGTGAGATTTTTTCTTGATACATGAAATGAATTTAATAAAATATCAATATAGTCAAAATATTTATTTTCTATCAGCTGACTGATGATTTCAGCTTGGATGTAAATACTGTATATCAAGTTATCACAACAGGCCAGATCAAATACACAGGATGTAGCATTTGTTACTAGTGATGGGGAGTCTAAACACCATTATCACCACACACACTATGGATTTTAAGTCAGCTGATGCATCCTGATATTTACTCATAACATATCACTGTCAGATTTTGATTCAAAATTATATAAAATATGCCACATTCACATGCACTGTATGTTTCATTCCTGATGTTGACTTTGGCTGTGCAGTATGGTGTGAAACCGACTGAGTGGATAGATATATGCAGTAGTGCGACACTCAGCGCCTCTCAGTGTCCAGAACACCAGCTGTTGTTATTTTTAATTTCCAGGGCTATGTTTCACAGCAGTAGCACAACCTCACCCACTCTAACTCAAATGATACCTTTAAACATACAGAGGTATAAGTGGACATGCACAAACATATTAGGGTAAAGCACAAACCAGCTAAACCAGCACACTCTCTTCATACTATTGTGTAAAAGGCACAAGACAACAATGCAGGGCTGATTAAATATGAATGTGGAAATATTTCAAACTATGAGACTGACCGACAGAATGATAGCAACTGTCCGTACTATGCCAAGTTTGAATTTGACTGAACTATATAAAGATTACATTTAAAATAGCTGTTACATGAAACAAATTAGATCTTGATAAACAATTAATAACCAAGCCATAAAATGTAGCTGAAAGAATCAACAAGAACAAAGCAAAACTTACTTTAAATTTGTCCAAATGCCTTCTCCCGGTTTTGTGATTCCAGGTTTGTCTTATTTATCAAGTAAGAATGAGCCAAAATGAAGCTTCTCTTTCCAGAAGAGCAGTCCTGTTGGTCAGACACTCAGCAGGATCTCTCTGGACAGGGTCCAGTTGCGTACTGCCTCTGCAGTGGCCCGCTGTCCCATCTGTCCCGGTCCCTAACTGCTCACTGAGTGGGGCTATATTTGGCCCCTGGTTCAGGTTTCACAGCCAGACTGCTGGCAAGAAGAGAGCGTGTTAAGGTAGTCCAGAGGAACAGAAGGTATTGGTGACATTTTTTATACAAGCAGCATTTGTTAATTAAATACAGAAAAAAGTGCTTCAAGGAGAAACGCCTGTAATATTTGACACTACACACCCACAACAAGCACTAATAAGCCAATACAATTGGGGTTTATGCAACATTCAGAGTCCTCCATGTGCACTGGCCACAGTTATAACCACTGGTTTGGGTAATAAAAAGATACCAGATATTGGCTGGGTTATGGTTTGTCATCCATCCATCCATTCATTTTCCTCTGCTTATCCGGGACCGGGTCGCGGGGGCAGCAGTCTAAGCAAAGATGCCCAGAC